TTTAAATATAATAATAATTTATGAAATTTATTTTCGTCTTTTTGTCTTATAAATAATTAATAAGTTATAAATATTAACAAAGTTTGGAAATTTTTAGAAAATTTATGAAAAATACAATCCAAATTGTAAATATATTTAATAATACTGTATTGCTTTAATATAGATATTTGCTTAAATTAAATGCTTGTATTATTAAGTTAGATATATAAAATTGTCCTAATTCAGTTTAGTGATACAGTAATCATCACTCTTTAACAGCCGGGTCGTACAAAGTTCTCCTTTTCTGCAGTTTATTGTTTAACTCGTCATCCATTGGAGCGTAAGAGTGCTTCAAATGAAATGTTAATTAATTTTTAATACTAAATATATTTTAAGATATTTATATATTATCAATGTTAAATAATAATAAACATGATTTTAAACATGAAATAATTTAAATTTACATTGCAGCCAGAATTTCTGATTCTTTATTATAATGTTAATTAATATAATAAAGTTTATATTTTCGAATCCTATGAAATCCTTAATGATAAGTATTCATGGACATATTATCAATTTTTATTAAACAATAATTAATTGAATAAATGTTTTTTTTTAATTTTTAAACAAATAAATCCTTGCAAAAATGTCATATCTAAAACGTGCAAATCTATAATTTTGTTTCAATGTGTCAAAAATAAACTAATTTCATTTTCTGATTAACTAATAATTTATATTTTTAACTTTTGATTAATATTTATATAATATTTTATGTTATCAACTCGATTCAAAATAATCATACAGTATATTAGAGAATTTACTTTTATACAAAAATAACAAAACCTAATATACTAAATATAAATCCGTTCTAAACTAAATACTCGAAAATTACACAATATAGCTAAATGCCTATCAAATATTGATCATTCCATATAAGGCATTTTATATAATATTTTTTGAAATATTTTTAAACCAACATATTGTGTAGTAAATATTTACAATTTATTGGTTATTCAATTCAATATTATTAAATGAATAAGTGGGTGGAAAGGCTGTTAGGTTCCATTCTGTACTCAATTTATATTTATTAATATACTGCTATAAAATATGTATTACTATGATATATTGTATTACTGTATGTTCAACATTAAGTACTTTCTGGTAAAGTACAGTTTGAACTCTTTCTTGAGTTTTCAAAGTTATATAAGTTATATGCAATATATTTTATAACATTTATAACGTTGAAAATGTTATTTTATTACACAACCAAGGTATAGTATTTTATATACTTTCTTATATTTATAATATATTATATTATTATAGAGTATTTCCTAATTGTACTGACACATATCAGGAATACCTTACTAATAAAAAATACAGTATATCTATTTTTATAGATTTTATATCTATTTTGAATACTGCGATAAGGTTTTATAGCAGGTCAATTATGATTCATATGTTTATTTTGTAACTAATAAATTGTTATCATCAGTAAAAGTGATACAGTAGTCTATATTTATTAGTTTTAAGAAGAACTTACCAAATTTTTAATAACTACAAAATTGCTGAACAGTCTTTGTAATTGACTTTCATCTGCAATATCTTCGGGCAATATGTCCTATTATAACAATAAAATATTATTTAATTATAAAGTTTATTTAATTTAAATTGTTATTTTATTCTATATAAATTACTACATTTAACTTTAATTTAACACAAAATAAGAATCTATTGTCTTACTATATGTTATTTTAAAAGCCAAATAAATTAGTGTAAATTTAATTAACCATTAACCAGTTGATTAAATTAGGAAGCAAAATAGTCAGAATGGGTGCTTTAGTTAAATGACTTACTCTTAACTGTTGTTTAGTGACAGACATGAAATATTTGACGGGATCGGGCAATGTCTTTGCGAAATCAGTCAGTTTGGAGATAAGTCTGGGGTGAAAGTTTTTGCGAGTGCTTTAGTTAAATGACTTACTCTTAACTGTTGTTTAGTGACAGACATGAAATATTTGACGGGATCGGGCAATGTCTTTGCGAAATCAGTCAGTTTGGAGATAAGTCTGGGGTGAAAGTTTTTGCGGTGTAAGTGCTCGACCATCATCGCCAGATTTAACTCTTTATTTTTATCATCTTTTTTCTTATCCTCACTTTTAGTCTCACCGTTCATTTCCTTAACTTTATTCTCATCTATTATTATAGCATATAATCAATGATTTATTGTCTCAATCATAATACAGACGAATAGACTTTGAAAGCACACCTGACTTAATGACAGAAGTTTTGGCCACACTTTTCCTGCTTTTGATGGTAGCGGACAACTCGTCCTGAAAGCTCATCTGACTCTGAATGCTAACGGTGTCCGACTCTAAGTTAGACTCCACTCGTTTCAATGGTTTTTGCAAATACTCTTTATTGATGGATATATTTTTGAACGACTCGTTCAACTGTTTGTTGAGTTCGTGTTTGTTCTTAAGTTGTGACTCAATTTGCGGATCAAACTCTTGTGACCTCTTTTGTGGCACAAGAAAGCAATTAATTTCAATCCACTCTTAATACTAAATAATTACCCCTTGATTTTGACTAGAATTCTGTTTAATAGGAACGGTATATAGCGGTCTGTCCTCTTCGCCATTGCGCCTAAGTTTATGGCCGTCTGTTACGTGATTAGATCGACTGTCCTTTGCTTCAAGTTTAGAGTTAATGTATTATTCAATTAAAGCCATCACCCAATTGATTGAGAAATTTGCAAAAAACACCATTACATGCAAAATAAGAAAATCAATTAATTAAGCCTTTCATTCGTGCAGTTATGTTATCAAAGCAATTAAGACATTCAAATGCAGTCACAATTAGCCAGACACTTATACATAACTGAACCGAGTATTAGTCGATTTAAGAATTAATTATAATACAATTAACAGATAAATGATTTATAAACAATTACAACATATATTATAAATATTTTATTTTGCAGAATATTGAAGTATTGATGAGGTATCCAATGATTGAATATTCTTTCATTCTGTAGTTTAGTTAAACCATCATTTAAGCCAAATGTTGACCATTGAATAAATTTTATTTTAAGATTTAGATTTATCTAAGTTTAGATAAGGTTTGTTATAATCCTTAATCAGTATTCTAATTTAGTATTTATATTATATATATTATTTAAATAAACAATCTCAAACTATTCAGAATTAATCAATAAACCTTAAACTATACAAAAAGTCTATTTAGAGTAAAATTCTAAAACTTTAGCAAAAGGTATAAAAGCAAAAATTGAATTAAACAAAAGTATGTTTATTAAACAATATTTAAAGGAATGATGAAAATGAACAACAAATGTAATTAAAATTACTTTGTTTATTGTAAATGATATATTATTATAGGCACAAAGTAAGGCACTGGTATGTTGTCAATAAGAATGTATTTGATACTGTAAAAGTGTATAGTAGACTAATCGTCAATAAGTAGTACAAATTAAATTAGATTTATAAAAATTTATATAAATTTATACCCTTTTGTATAATATTAAGTACTATAATATATAATCAATGAATAGTTAAGATTCTATTGGTTTTGTAATGAATTGCTGTACAGATTTTATAATTAAGTCATGTTTACATTCAATTGTTTTATATAATTAAGGCATTAATTTAAGGTTCTGTTATTGATTAAGATATTATCAATACTGTTTCTGTCGACATAAATGTCTAATTCATAACACATAACCCAATGACCAACAAATCAAAGACAACATTTAATTTACAACATGTCATGGGATAACCACAAGAAAAGCTTAGCTTTTAATGTATCGTCAGAATTGCAAAACTACTTCTCCCGGGGAATAGAATTTGTTTTAACAGTTATATAACTTATAAATATAACATATTATACCAAAAAATATGTAATGAAAATATAGATTACAAATAACAACAAATCGTCGCAAATAAACGACAGTCCAATCGACGCACACATTGAAGCGAACGAGAAGTCAAGTGAGAGTCGACCGAAATCCTCAGAAATAGCGAAACTCCCCTTTTTTACCTGTTCTCTCCCGACGCACCCAGTCGTCCGACGGCGACGAACTGCCCATTCCGTGCCCGTCCTTCCCGTTAGTGGTGGGCCCCATCTCGGACACGATCGTGTGGGGCACGTGCGCCACCTGACCCCTCCAGTTGCGCGCTTTCCACCACTTGCGCGAGTCGTCTAATATTTCTAGTATTTCTCCGCTAAACAACACAAAGCCATAGAAAACAAAGTGTTAAAACTGGTCACTTGATTGCGAGGGTGTGGTAAGTGTGGTAAGTGTGCGAACCGAATGACAGTGAGTTCTTTGTCGTTGTTGGCGGTGCGGGGGAAGAGCACCCGAACTATTTTGGCGTTCCTGTTGTGGAGTTCGGTCAACCATTCCGACTGATCTAATTCGTTGACCTGAACTGTAGGCGAATCCCGTTCTATGGAGTCGATAGGAGAGGGCGGAGTATTGCCCCGAACCACACGAGTCGCGTGAGACGATGTCGACGGAGATACTGAACATGACATTCATTTGAATGAAACATTTGCTTAAATTGCCATAAATTCATTAAACAGTACTTCTGTGCTGAATATGCCGGCCATCCATATGGTTGTCATCGATGTCGCTGTCATCGAATTGCGGACCCCTTTGGTATTCCCGTGAGTTGACATCTCTTCGGTTGCGAATAATGGCTTCTTCGCGATGGATGTGAATGGAGTCGTCCTCCTGTTCCGACTCCGATGCTATGCCTATCAATTCAGGTTCTGTTATATTAGGAGCCCAGCCATCAGTGAACACCGGTTGGTACGAGGAATTAAGTCTTGTGTTGTGCTATCAATGAAAATAATTTTATGAATACAGAAATTTAAATGTCAAACCAATCTGAGGCATACTTTGATGGGTTGCACCCAATTAGGTCCTAATGATTGCCACAAATCAAACTCTTTGCTGGTGCAGCAGTTGGCCAACAAATCTATAGCCTCGTGATTAAGGTAAGGCACTCCAACAATGGACGGGTCTATCGGTGGCTCTATATATGATTAAACAAATTCATAAATATTTAGTGGGGATATTATAAAAATGCATAATAAAGTGAACGCACCATTACTTCTGGCGGCTTCAATAATAATGGCCAACTAAATGAAAGTGAGACAAAACAATACAATATTAATAGACATAATGGAGTCATAAAATGATAGGTAGGCCTAACCGGAGTGAACAGAAAGTGGACGAGTTCTGGTGCGTTGGGGTCGTGTATGCAACCTATCATTAGATCAAATCGATTATTACACACATTTCCACATACTTTCAGTTTCTTCGATAACTTGACATACCTTTAAGTTTTGCTAATAAATTGAATGCGAGTTTGAATTTACTTAAAATCTCAAAGAATTCTTCTTCATTAGGACCACGCGCTCGGATAGCCAGCAGTCCGTCACCGGCATGTGCCGCACCTTTACCTTTGCATAATATATACATTAATTTGATTTTATTTAAAAAAAAAGTAATTATGTAAAACCTTGTCTCCTATGATTCCTAAGCTGTAGTTCCCTGAGGGCTGCGGCCGCGTGTTGTAAACGGATTATAAATCTTTCGATGTCATCGAAACAGTGGTTTAGTATTGAAACGTATCGCTCATTAGATAGCGACTAATGGATATGCAAATCAAACTTATAATAAACACCAATATTAACGCGTGTTGTAAACGGATTATAAATCTTTCGATGTCATCGAAACAGTGGTTTAGTATTGAAACGTATCGCTCATTAGATAGCGACTAATGGATATGCAAATCAAACTTATAATAAACACCAATATTATGGTATATGGGTGTCAGACCTGGTCGTGGCTATTAGTCCTATGGGCACCGTTATGATGGCTCGAATCAATAGAGCTCGTAGTAGTGATAGAACGGGAATCGAGATCATGAGTCTGAGCCCGTGGCTGACCCCCATGACCTACTGGTGGGTCCGTTGGTGACGACCCTTTTCTAGAGATGTAATTAATACATATAGTTAGCGATTGTATGCAAATAGTAATTGTTTGGTGTGTTTGTTGGCATTACTTTTCACGTTGGGCTGCAATTTGATTGAAAACACTGACGGTCTCCTTAACGTTGACGTTAGGCTGAGCCGACGTAATGCTGGGCTCGGTATGCATATTGACGCCGAAGTGTCTCATCCATTGTTGGATGTCTTCGACAATACTTATGGCATTGTGTGAAACACATTAGTCTCCTTAACGTTGACGTTAGGCTGAGCCGACGTAATGCTGGGCTCGGTATGCATATTGACGCCGAAGTGTCTCATCCATTGTTGGATGTCTTCGACAATACTTATGGCATTGTGTGAAACACATTGAAATATATGCAATTCGCCTGAATTCGTGGTAATTAATCAAATCAAATGAGTCTATGTTTGACGGATTCATTGCGGGGGTCATTACCTTGACTTTCATTAGGTAACTGTACAGTGAATATAAGGATATTGTTATAAATATGGTTGTGATCATTGAAGGCAGTGGGCTGTTGGATAAGAGTGACCGGGAACCGCTCGACCACATCATTGGACTCGCCGTCCAATATCCACATATTATTTCCTAATTCATGCCATTATAACAATCTCTTTAATATTTGCTCTCAAATCTCAATGTCTGTCATTAATACCCTTCAATTGTATTGCCATTCTCTGCGTCCAAATCCCTATAAATTGATTGATAAAGTTAGTGATTCTTAATATGATTTCATTCATTTCGTGTATTCAGTAGAAATGTTTGTATAATTCCTATCATATCAATAAGTAAAGTTTAATCTCTTAACGCAATGACATTTGGAAAGTGTTGAGAATAAATGAGAAATAAGTTATAGCCAAAAGTTATGTTATGATAATAATTGGCAGCAATAAATATAAGTTATTTATTTGTTAACATTAGGTATTATCTTAAAGATTATAATAGAAGTTACGATTCGCTTATCAGAAATAAATAGATTAAACAAAATCTGTAGTGATATTTGTATGAATAATAGTGTTATCAAAGCTAACATTTCAAATGTCTTTATAATTAATACAATATTTATTTAACAGAATCCTCTTTCCTAATAAATAATAATCATATGAGAAATGTGTGAAAACCTGAAGTCTTTTCCATAGCGAAGAGTCGGTGTAAAGCCATGCGAGGGGTTGTCTGTTGTTGTTGTGGGGATGCGGTCGAGAAAGTGGCCAAATGCTCGACCGAGTAGGTGGGCGCCTGATGTGGTGGCGATGAAGCCATTGCTTATGCTTGTGTCGTACAGGTGCTTGTGATTAAGGCTGCGGTGGTGGTGGTGGTGGTGGTTGTGGTGGTAGTGGTGGTCGGATACAATAATATTATGAGATTTATTATGACAATAATTATGGGAATATCACAATACAAATTTTGTTATGATGACTTTTAAATCACATAAAAATTTCAAAAATATATTTAAAGAATAATCAAATATTTGAGAAATAATATAAAGTTTTTTTCTCGAAAAGTTAATGTTAACTGAAAAATGTAATACACGTCAAAAAGTTCATTAAGTCATAGGAATCGCTGTCAGCTATACCTGTAGTTAAAGAGAATTTTTTAATGCATTTCTCTGTAATGTATTGAGAAATACATTTAAAACTCCAAACAGATTATACAAATTTGAGTAAACTTTTCTCAACAAACTTAATATAAAAATAATATTAACTTAACGAACAGAAAAGGGATGAAATTGATTGCAAATGTGGGCGCAATAACTATATATGTTCACTAGTATTACAAAACTTTGTTAGGTTTGAAAACTCTATCAAAAGTGCTGACAATAAAACAAAAAATTTCATAATAATTGTGAAGCGATTATCATAGGAAGAGTCAATTGTGACACATATTATGCGACTCTATATATGAATAACAGTGAAAAAGCAGAGGCGAAACACCATTTAAAATAACTTTTATGCAAATATTAGTGCAAAATGTGTTAGAAAACTGCAAACATTAGGGTTTAGTTTCATAGATAAGTTGACCGAATACATAGAAATATACTAATTAAACAAATACAATATAATAAGCTTTGAAAAACAAAGAATATAAATAAATATCATAATGACAAACCTATTAAGTGGTGTCAAAAAGTAACAAATTTATTAGCGCTCACATCACCAGCGATTAAGAAAAGTTAATTTATAATTGTTATAAATATTGTTTGAATTGTGATGAGGTATTGATGAGTAAAACATGACACTATCATAAACGAGCCAAAATGGCGATCCCTCGGCAGTTGTTGGTCTAAATACCTGAGACTTAGGTGTTTCCTATGGCAACATTTCACTGTTCAAACAGGTATGAGGTATGGAGTGGTATACAAGAGTGCATACGAGAGTGAGGTATACGAGTGAGCGAGAGATCACCCCTCCATTCAATACCACTATTCCTCTATTCCTATGCCAAATGCTATGCAATAATCTTTCCTCTCTTAACACGTTTGTTACGTCCAACAGGTATACCATAGCCTAGCATAGCATACCATTGCATAGCCTTCCCTAACAAGTGGCGGAATCCGGAAAACAACTCTCAAATAACTTCTCTAATGAGCTTTTGTTTCACTTTTTCTCCCCGCGAGTCAAGTCAATGTATAGACATTTATTGGGTATAATGCTATTTATTGTAACACTTTTATGAAACAATACAATAATCATGAATTGTATGGCTATTCTTGATCAATCAATTGATTTTATGCTTATACTGTGATAGGGCGTTATTTTATTTTAATCGAAAATATATGAAAGAAAACTTTTGCGATAACTTTCAAAACTATGTTCAAGTAGTTTACTATAAGTTTGGTTAAACTTATTTTTGGTTGTAATCATTGATCAATAGCTACGCCCCTCTAGAATAGGCAAAAATAATATAGTAGTCAAGAATTTTGGCGCATATTTAATGTTATATACGCGCAGTCAGTGTGGTTGCAGTTAACGCTATAATAACTACAGATATTTAACAATCTTTTAATACACGGAATCATTGAATTCCTTAACAAATATCTTAATAATTTTCACGACGGCTCCACACTTGAGTATTAGCAGAAATTTCAATGATAAGATTTATAATTTATAAAAACCTTTTCCAAATCAATTTATTATGTTTTACTTCAATCACATTTTGGTTTATTTCCAAAATTATATACAACTGTATTATTCATATAAAAAATATAATAAAAATATCATTTCATTAATAATATTTGAATAGAGTTGTAGACTATTTGATATCCCATTCCTCCCTTTCAAATGTACTGAAAATAATAACATTAGGACTCGCAGTACTGAAAAGTAATAAACTTGTCATTAAGTTGTGTTTTATGTTAGTTTCAATCTGTTGTCTCACGAATTTGTATGAAAACAAAATGATTTAAAAGGCATGAATACCAGAATGTTGAGGTATTGGGATAGTCAGCCGGTATAAAAACAAAAGACTTTCTCCATTATACTTATTTAAACAAATTTCACTAAACTCTCAAAATGTCTAACCAATGAGTTTATGAGGTCTGACTGCTCTTCCCATTCAGTTTTAATTATAATATAATGTATGTCCAAAGCATAGAGTAATTGCATGAATAATCATAATAAGAGGTATTTTTATAGAGAAAAGTCAGTCATTAACCCTCAAATAGGCGTTCTTTGAAATTATTGTTAAAAAATGAATTCAAAAACCACTTTCGATTCATTTGATTGTGATTTTAGCTTAAAATAACATTTTCCGAGAAACTAATGATTTATACAATAATAATAACTATGTATTCGAGTTTCAAATAATTGTTTTCATTTTCTTTTCTGACAACACAAATAAGAAAAAGTCATTTGAAATGAAATAAAAATATAAAATAATAATAATAATGAAAATCCCCTTATTATTGAAATGAAATCTTGCAAACTATGACTAAAAACTGATTTCATTTCATTGTCTTCATGTTTTCTCTACAAAATAGTGTACAACAAAACCTTTTTGCAGTGAAATTGTTTGTTTAATAGCATTTATAATTGCGAATAACATACATATTATTTGTGAGGAAACAATTATTAAAATATATATAGTCTACTATTGTTATATTATATTATATAAAACCTCATTTTAAGAAGTAGTCTACATTTTGTAATATTAAATTCTTACTCTCTTTTTTGTAATACTATATTATTTTTATTATTGACTTATCTATAAGTCGAGACTAGAAATCAATTTAATATTTTAGACTAATCCTTGAAATAAATGATTAAATTCAATGCAGCATAAATTAATACATGTATATATGCAATAAATGTAATAACTTATAAATTATAAAAATTATAAATATAAGTCTAGAATAAAATTTCTACAGAATAAAAAGTAACTAAATATTTCAAATAAAACCAAATTGTCATTTGGGAATATTAACATTTGCAATAAACTTTATACAATAAAGTGTAGAGATTGATAACTGTACAATAATTTAGTTGTTTCAATCATTAGAAATCTAGTCTAAAAACAGCCAATAAATGAGTTACATTGGAAAGGGTTGAGGGCTGGGAGGTCTGTATTTTGCCGGACCATTGATGGCATTACATAGACTGCAATGCATTTACAAACTCATTGATTAACTTCGTTAGAGAGCAAACTCGTGAGAAAAATGTTGGTTTGGAGTAAGCAATGAATTGAACGAAATATAAGTGCATTTTGTTTGTTCATCACATTCTTTGGCTAACATTTCGTGTTTGTAAAAAAGTTTAACTTTTCAAAAGTTGTATGACTTGTGAGCAGTTTTGTGCCAAAATAGCTATACTTGTTGTCAATACTACTCAGCGATTACACACTCATAGGAAGTGCACTACGATTGGAGTCCACAATAATTTAGTAGCGTTTCAGCAATCATTCAATTTATGTAATAATTATAATATAAATATATTTCTAAGTTTTGCAACAAAATTAAATATTTAATTGAACTCAAAAATTATTTGCTCACTAAACAGGAATCTATTGGCAACTAGCTTATTTGTACAATATATTGAATACGAGTTTCTAAAATAGCATACATCTTATTAATCAAATATAAAAAATGTAGTAAATAAATATACAGATTATGTTCAGGTTATTTAATATTAATGTTCAGAAAATATTCTGGATTATTCAACAATATTAATCATATTTTAATATTCTTTCACTTAATTCAACATTTTTGTCAATTCATTCAAGTTTAGCAACTTTTAAACTATCATAACCATATAATTAACAACAAATATTAGCATGCACATTCTGTAGATTAAATACTTTTTAAACCAAAAAAATAACAACTTAAATTTAAAATGAAATTATTTGAAAACTAATTTTAATTGATTGAACTAACAAGTAAGTTAACTTGATTGAATTTAATAAAATTCAGTGTACACTTTTGTTAGGTTAGGTTAGGTTAGGTTAGGTTTGGCAAAGTGTATACATTTTGTAAATTATTATTAAGTCCCGGTTTGATGTAAACATATTATGCAAGCATTGAATGATTTGTTAACTATTTGTTATATCATCTATTAATCAATTAAAAGTGTTATATTTATGAATGGATTAAACTTTTTGTTATTATTAACACAAAACATATGTTTATATAAGACTTGAATCCATGAAATAGTGTGAAAGACGTGGCTTTTATACAAAATGATTGCATTTATGTTGAATTGAATGGCATTTCTGATTGATATCTATATCGACACCAAACTATAAATTGCGATAAAATATACAATTATTAAGTGATTGAAAGTCAACGCAAATGTTATCATTGAATAGCAGTAAGTATTTGTCAATTGTATGCAATTATAATGATATGTTTGTGTCTGTATTGACCAGAATTGTCCTCAAATGGCAACCGATTGGTCACCAAATACTGGATGAGCCGAAGACTGGCACATGACGTGCGCACCGGTATATTGATGCTGAATATGGGCGGACCAGAGACTCTCGATGATGTGCTCCCATTCCTCACCAGACTCTTCACCGACAAAGACATCATACCACTGCCGGCACAGAGGTTTGCACTCTTAGTGGCCGTCATCGAGACAATCGTCTGGTCTATGAAATTGAGTTGAATTTGATTGATTGAATTGACAGCACATTGGGTCCATTGATCGCCAGACGGAGGGCACCGGTGGTGAGGGAGCGGTACCAGCAAATAGGTGGCGGATCGCCTATCAAGGACTGGACCACAAGACAGGGAACACTGTTGACCCAAACGCTAGACCAACTGAGCCCTGAGTCGGGTCCGCATAAGTTTTACTTAGGCTTCCGTTACGCGGAGCCCTTGACGGAGGACGCGATCGCGACAATGGAAAGGTATGTAGGGTTGTTATGAAGTGATGATATGTTTGGATCAATTGATTGGTATGTAATGGTTGGCAGAGATGGAGTGATGAATGCGATCGCGTTCTCGCAATACGCGCAGTACAGCTGCAGTACGTCTGGCAGTAGTATTAACGCCATCGCCAGACACTATATACAGACCATCGGCGCCAACGCATCGCCCAAAATGAAGTGGTCTTTCATCGATCGGTGGCCGACGAACGCCGGACTCGTCGAAGCCTTCGTCGACTTAATACAGAAGGAAATCGATTGGTTTCCAGAGACTAAACGCAACCAAATAGTGCTCCTCTTCTCAGCCCACGCCCTCCCACTCCGCGTAATCCCATATTTACTTTCAATTCATATCTCGCTTGACATTAGGTTTTAGTTTTTTTTAATTAATCGGAAAACTTTTTGTAATAATTGTCAGGCCGTTAATAAGGGCGACTCGTACCCAACCGAAGTGAGCGCTACTGTAGTCAAAGTCATGGAATCTCTTCATTTCAAATACCCGTACCGATTGGTGTGGCAGTCGAAAGTAGGCCCTATGACATGGCTCGCACCTCAGACTGATGAGGCACTTAAGGGTTGGTCACGATTTAGGGATCAATTGTGTTTCATCAGGAAATTGATCATAAATTTTGTTTTCCTGACATTAGGCTTTAGTGAGAAGGGGTACAAGAATTTCATATTAATACCCATTTCCTTTGTGAACGAACACATCGAAACCCTGCATGAGTTGGACATTGAATACGGGCGCGATTTGGCTAAAGAGGTGATCAGGCATTTGATTGCGAAATGTTGAAACATTTTGTAGAGTTTTTAGTTTTTTAGAAAAGCTTTTAATTAGATTAGAGGAAACGAATGCTAATATATGCTTTCCTGACGCTCTTGTCGTAAATGAAATGACATTTTGTTTTACAGTTAAAAATAGAAAACATAAGGCGTTGCTCTGCGCCTAACACTCATCCGGCGTTTATTAGAGGAATGGCATCGATAGTGAAGTCTCACATGGATTCGGGCGAACTGTGCTCTAAGCAACTGATGCTCCGGTGCCCGCTCTGCACCAAAAGTGTTTGCTCTGACACAAGACAATGGCTCCAAAGTATACATGATTTGCAGGCAAACAAATAAACGATTAAATCTCAACAAACAATTATTTGATTATGAAATCTCTATAAACGTAGAAAAATATTTTTATTTACATTTCTATCAATGCTTTTATACTTGTATTGATTCTATTGTTATTGAAAATAAATTTAAGAGACAGTTGAACCGCTAAAAGATATTATGGTATGTCTGGTATACTAGTATTCTTTTACCGATAACATGGTATGGATTGAAGTCTAGCACATGTAGACAATACAATACAAAATATAGGTAAGAGTTAATAAACTTGAACTGTCTATGAGTTTGAATGTGGCAATACTTTTATATACACTCCTTAAGAATATTTACTTATTCTTCAAGTCTACTCTCATTTCAACAATAAATTGAATTAAGAGGTGAACTTTACAATCAACTGGTTCATCTATACAACCAGAATATAATCATATTTAACAAGTTATGATTTAATTTAATAGTCTTATATAACCGACTATATTGTATAGAGAATTTTCGTACATTATATTCATAAATGTACTTGTTTACTTATATTTCGATAAAGAGCTAAGTCTAAAGCTTTTGCCAAACAATTCATTGATGACAGGCCGGGCGTCTCATCGGTTCTGTATTTAAAGAGTTTGCTATTCTTATCTTCTATTCAAATATTTTTTTAATAAAATTGTTTTCTAAAAGTGTTTACTCTCTAAGAGATAATGTCTTTAACTATGTCTTTGACAAATCATAATAATGACACTCCTCTGCGTTTTTACAGAATATTCTATCACTTTATTTCGGAAGTCATTAAAAATCTTATAGTCTTATAGTCTATTCAATTCTTATGCAGAGGTGGAGAGCATAACAAAACAGTAATCAATACTAGACTGATGTTTATTTAGAATAAATAATAAATAAATAAATTTTTTATTATGTTGAATTAATGACTATAAGCAACGGTTCAATGATTTTAACTGTATTTCCATTAACTTATTAAAAACGAATTGCATTATTTGTCTAAAATAACGACAATATTATCGAAATTAGACTTTGTTTCCGGGAATAGAAAACGGTAAAATAATTTAAGATCATAACCCTTTTCAGAAAATATTTTTACTTTTTAAAATTATATAAAGGCTAAACATAGAGACTATACAGGCAAATTTATCAGCACTCAGTTTAGTGATTTAAATTTGCACTTATAAGACAAACTTTGCTTAACAAAATATAAATTTTTGTTTACATTTCTCATTATCTGCTAATTTAAATATTTGTTGTCAACTTATTTTACAATTTATTAATCAATTGTTTGGTTAAAAATTCTTTGAATTTAAACCATTATTTCATAATAAAAAATTATTGAATTGAATGCTAAGCAAGTAACTGATTTAAGTTTAGATGTATTGGCTTTAAGTAATAAATTTGTGCATTGAAGGCAATTAGGCATAACGTATAATACATATATAGATACTAATAATTATGTTTAGATGAATATTATATTTTGTATGTTTTGTGCAAATTATCGCCGGATTGGGAACACGTATGAAAGCAATCATATGAATGGGAATGGTATGCTATTTCAAAAACGGACTTAATTATCGGTGCCATCAATAATGCATAAAATACTATGACATAAGTTGTACCAAATATTGAATGAAAAGTGAGTTTTTGAAATATTTTTAGAGATAGATTATTAGATATTATATTATACGAATATATAATATTTTATTTAACATTCATTGCTAACTGCTGTATCTTTTTTTGAATAAAATATGTTTTTACATTATACCCTCCTATTGTTATAATTATTCACAATGTAAGCTAAATATACGACTGACTTGTTATATATTAATATATACACAAAATTATGTATGCATTTAACAAATTATTCGCTGAATTTTGATGAAAGTTTTTATTATCATTCAAGAGATCTTGAATCCTATATAATATTATTGTGTATATATTGTACCCAAAAAAGAAATGGCACAGAATTAATATTAGTTTTGGTTCAAATAATAAGTTTTTCATTTAACAAATAAACCACAAAAATCTTTTTATTTAACAGAATATTCTGTTTAATTAAGGATTACAACAAATGTAAATGAAAATAAATTATTTATTTTAAATATGAGATTTTATTTTTATTGTTTAATTATACTGTAGTTCATACTTTAATGTCAACTAATTAATTATGAGCTTATTATATTCTGTATCTGTAAATGAATAAAATTAATCAAAATTTGATTGACATTTGAATCGCTGGTCATGTTGTCCTTAAGGGTTGTTTCACTTGAAAACTAATGTGTCATCTCTATAGACGTCATGCTCGCCTCAATCAACAGTTTATGTAATGATTATTTTAAATAATACTACATTATATCAATATTTATAAGAAAAACTTTTTCATTAGCTGAGAGAGAGAGAGAGAGAGAGAAAAGAGAGAGAGAGAGAGAGAGAGAGAGAGTAGGAGTGAAAACAATGAACCTTTGGTGACAAACAAAACAAAACATAATACAAATTAATTAAAGTTTGAATACTTTTTGATGTTTTGCCTCATTTAAACACAATTTTGTTTATCGAACCAAATGTGAAGTCATTTAATATGTACTCAATTAATAAAAGTCTTTTTCTGTAAGACATTAACACATTATTATTGATTGACTTTTCAAATGAAGCGTTCATTCATTCGCTAAACTTGTGACTTAAACTTAATAATTTTTATTAGCCCTTATTTTATTGATATATCTGTAACAACGATATATAATAATAATAATAATAATAAATTCAAATGTTAATTGATTTATTATTTCATTAATTTCAAACCTATTGCAGTCATTAATATTCATTATTTATTCTTATATTTTAATCATATACTTAAAGGAGTTTTCTCCATAAAAAATATCAATAAATTTTATACAATACAATGAACTTTGTATGACCAAGACAAGTGTGCACGTGAAAAATGTATATTGTTTCATTATGACAATAACAATATTACATTAGAAATTCAATTATTATTTGGAAAAATAAAGTTATGACGAGTATTAGGGTCAGTAAACATTTTCAAATATTCATTTAAAGTACAGAATAACTAAATGTAAATGAAGTATTTAATATGAATAAATACATGGAAATTAAGTTCAAAACAAAATGAACAAAATAAACTATAAATATTTTGAGTTCAAGTGATTTAACAGTAAAACGTTATCTAACAGTGGTATTGAAAGAGAAATTCATAAATATTAAAATATACTAAATATTAAATATGATTTTTTTAGTAAAAGCAAACTATTAAATGATACAAGTGGCAAAATATTATAAATGGCATTAAGCCTTTGGTAATATAAGAGCAATTCTTTAATTTCAATTACTAGAAAAATTATTAATTTATTGAATTCATATAATAAATTCATTTACATTCAAATGACAAAAATTAATATATAATAATAATCCAAAGTATGAACAGAAATATCCTCTGAGATAGTCTTAAGTGAATGAATGTTCGATCGAAAAGACATTTACTGATGAAAAATTTCAAACCAATGATACAAATGATAAATAGTTGTGATATATCGCCAGACTTTGTTCTAAATCTTATTGGAAATGTTGTGTATTTTCTCAGAATATTATTACAAAATCTTTTACTAAAAATAAGGAGAGAGAGAGTGAGAGAAAGAGAGAGAGAGAGAGAGTTGAGCACATAGGCAAACATCTAATCCTATATTCAATATACATAAAAGAGTGAAAAAAGTTCAAAAGGTTCCGGACATTAATGGAGTGGAATATTCACGAAAGAATCTCTCCGTCACATCATTGCCAACATTTGCACATTTGTTAGAAAACTACAGAATTACAGAATTAATGCAAACAAAATTTTCTCACTGCCTGTGGCTTGAATCTACTTTTCCAACAATTTATACAAAAATATATATTTATTTATAAGAAATATATATAATATAATATACAGAATATCACATAAATATAAGTTCTGGAGTAATATATTTAAAAATCTATGCTTTTTGTATTTTATAAATGTCGTATATTTAAAATAATTATTTAAATTGCATTTTAATTTAATAGATTGCCTGTTATATTTTAGAAAATGGACCGTAATTTCAATTTTAATAATTAAATCATAAAATTTAAACTCAAAGTCCATCATAAATGGTAAAAATTTGAGTCAATTGATTCAGTATTGACTTTAACAGTGAATTTTCTGTCATATATTTTAATCTGTTGTCTGGCTATAATTAATGAGAAAAACACTTAAATTAAACGAATTAAATGAATAAAATTAAAATAAATTAAAACCGTTTTCTATTCCCGGAAACAAAGTCTAATTTCGATAATATTGTCGTTATTTTAGACAAATAATGCAATTCGTTTTTAATAAGTTAATGGAAATACAGTTAAAATCATTGAACCGTTGCTTATAGCCATTAATTGAACATAATAAAAAATTAATTTATTTATTATTTATTCTAAATAAACATCAAAGTCTAGTATTGATTACTGTTTTGTTATGCTCTCCACCTCTGCATAAGAATTGAATAGACTATAAGACTATAAGATTTTTAATGACTTCCGAAATAAAGTGATAGAATATTCTGTAAAAACACAGAGGAGTGTCATTATTATGATTTGTCAAAGACATAGTTAAAGACATTATCTCTTAGAGAGTAAACACTTTTAGAAAACAATTTTATTAAAAAAATATTTGAATAGAAGATAAGAATAACAAACTCTTTAAATACAGAACCGATGAGACGCCCGGCCTGTCATCAATGAATTGTTTGGCAAAAGCTTTAGACTTAGCTCTTTATCGAAATATAAGTAAACAAGTACATTTATGAATATAATGAACGAAAATTCTCTATACAATATAGTCGGTTATATAAGACTATTAAATTAAATCATAACTTGTTAAATATGATTATAGTCTTGTTGTGTACAGTAGATGAACCAGTTGTAAAGTTCACCTCTTAATTCAATTTATTGTTGAAATGAGAGTAGACTTGAAGAATAAGTAAATATTCTTAAGGAGTGTATATAAAAGTATTGCCACATTCAAACTCATAGACAGTTCAAGTTTA